AAGACAAAACACTAGGCGGACAACAACACAATTATTCCAGGCCACCCCTAATACCTAATAAACGAGCCGGCCTCCTTATCCGGAAAGATGCAACTACCAAAAGAAACGAAACCTAAACATCCCGTAACAAAAACTCTTGTGACGACTTCCCCATTTAGGGACGCGGAGGATTTCCTACCTCCTTCCCCAAGTGTCAGGCCCTACATGGGACGAGCCAAGGACCCCGCCCTCGGGAGCCTCGGGGACCTGGTGCCGGAGGACAAGAACACAACCCCAGAGATCTAAGTGTATGGGAGGTTCCACTACAGGATTGAGGAGCCCAGAGAAGGAAAAAGTTCATTCTGCCAGCAGGAGGACTGGGGGAATGGGGTGGAGTTGGGAAGGGTCGAGGGACTTGTCCAAGAGATGACTAGCTAGACACCGAGGGAGAGCGGAGAAGGGACTGGAGAACGAAGCCCACGGAAAGTGGAGGGCAAGCGCAGAAGCTAGCCCCTTCGGTGCCACTCTTCTCCTGTGCCCCATGGCGCCCCCGGCCCTGCTTCACTCCCTCCCAGCTCCGCTGGGCCCCCGGCCCGGGACTCCTCCGGCACCCGCCTCCGGGGCACAGGGTGCTGTGGGGGCGTTGGTGAAGCTCCCCTCCCTATGAAGCTCCTCCGCCCGGCGAGACTGGGATGGGGGCGACTCGGGCCCCCGCCAGCGCTCCCGGAAGAGGAGGTACCGCGCCCCACCGCAGCCACCGCACCGCGGACAGCTCCCCACCGAACGCGGACACTCACTTTCTCGTGGAAGATGGACTCCATGTTTATTTGTCTGGAGCCAACGGCCCCCAAGCCGAACCACCCCCTTCCAGCCCCGCCCCTCGGCCCCACCCCTCCTCCCACCCTGCCCCGCCCCGCCTCGAGCCGCCCCTGCCCACGTGCCTCGTACAGACCAATCATCCCCGAGGATATGAATCACGTGGAACGAAGAGCGAGTGAACGCCGGGGCGGTAAATGCGAGCACACGTGACCTTTGTAGCGCGTCCTCCTGTATCCCTTTATTTGGCCGGCTGGGGGTGTTGCAGCGCCACCTACGGTCTGGAGGAACTTCTCTGCTTCCCACCCATTGCTATGGATTTTTAGGCTATTAAGGGGTCTGGATAAGGAACGCCTGGGTTCTATGTTTTTTTATGTTTTCCACTTTGTACTTTCTGCTTATCATATCTGCATATAATTATTTAATATCTTTCTCCTCTTTCCCCACTGAAAGCCTGATTAAGAAAAAGACATCACTGTGTCCCCCAACACCTAGCACTTGTGTAAAAATGTAATTAATATTTATAAAGAGCTTACTGTAGGGTAGGCTTTCTTTTTGAACTACTTTGCATATATTAAAGAATTTAATACAACAACCTTTGATGTAGGTGTTGTTATGATCCCTATTTTACACATGAGGACACTGATGCACAGGGAGGTTAAGAAAAGAACCGTCTCCAAGGTCAACTAGTGAGTTGCCCTTGCTGGGGTCTAAATCCAGACACCTTGTTACTAAGAGTCTGCATTCTGACCCTGAAGAGGAAACATGACTTGGGGGAACCGAAAAGTCCAGTAAAGTGGGGGAAGGGATTTGATGAAGCTGGAGGAGTAGGAAAGAAGCAGATTTTGCACCTTGAAATTAGGTTAAGGAAGGTATGCTTTTTAAAGACAGCTGGGGAGTTATATAAAATTTTTAAAGAAGAGACGCTCAGATTTGCATTTTATAAAGATCACTCTAGTTGCAGAAAAAAGCTGATGCTGTGGAAAGAATCTTGGGAGAGATGATGGTGTTTGGGCAAGAATAATGACCTGCAGTGGAGAGGAGACCATTTTGAGAGATGATTAATAAATGGGGAGACTCAACAGAACTTGGTGAGAGTGGAGAGTGAGGGGCACAGAAACGTTAGGGATGATGTCTGGGTTTCTGCCCTAGGCAGCCACTGTGGCAGGAATAGTATTCACTAAGATAGGGAATAGTGGAGGAAGGGGCAAGGTTTGGGGAATACCTATGATATGTAAGACAAGTAATGAGTGGAGGTTATCTATCTATTTATCTAAATGGTCTGGAGTTCAGGGGCTTGGTTTTGCTGTAGAATGGGGAGTTATTTACAGGATTGAATAAAATCATCTAGGGGAAAAGGAAGAGATTGAAAAGAGGATCTAGAGTAGAACCCTGAGGGTAGAGAAGGAATAGCCAAGGAGAAGAGAGGAAAAGCAGGAGAGTGAAATCATCAAAGCCCTGAGAAGGGAATGTTTCAAGAATCAGTGTTGGTTGCTGCCAAGAGGTCCAGCAACATAAGGACTTACAAGAGTCCACTAAATTGTGTTGCTATGGAGACCATTGGGGACATTGGTGAGTGCAGGCTCAGAGGAACAGAAGGGGCAGCAGGAGGTAAGGAAATGGGAGAGTACCAGTGAGGACCAGGTGCTCAAGGGTAGGATTTAGTTACCCTTTTCTGAATGCCCCTGTGTGCACAGTCCACACTCCTGCATTGGGGAAACAGTCCATGCATGTTCTTAAGGAACTGTGGCCTAATTGGAAAACAAATCACAGTCTCATGAAGTGAAAAAATATGCAAACCATTTTTTCCTGATTTATTTTTAAAGAAAGTGTGTGTGTACAGAAACACGTTTCTATTTTTTGTTGTTTTTCGTATACATTACAAATCTCTGGAGGAATATACAGGAAACCCAGAGGTTACGTACGTGTTTGAGATGGGAAGGGAACTAGGCAAATAGGAGACAGGGATGGGAAGGAGACTTTTCACAGTATACAGTTTTATTCTTGATTTTTAAACGAATATATTAGTTATTCAGAAAAAAAAAAGTGCTTGTATTCATTTCCTATGGCTGCTGCAGCAAATCATCACAAACTTGGTGGCTAAAAACAGAAATTTATTCTCTCACTGTTCTTGAAACCAGAAGTCTGAAACCAAGGTGTCAGCAGGGCCACGCTCGATGGTCACAGGGAGAATCCTTTCCTCACTTCTTCCAGCTTCTAGAGGCTCCTGGCATTAGTTGGCTTGTGGTTGCAGAACTCCAACCTTGGCTTTGGTTTCCACGTGGCCTTTCTCCTTCTGCGCCTTATAAGTACCAATGACTGGATTTAGGTCCTACCCTAATCCAGGGTGATTTCATACTGAGATCTTTAATTATATTGGCGAAGACCCTATCAGTGATAATTAGGGAGTATCATTTTATTGTAATTTTACTTCTCCTAAATTCAGTATGACCTAAAACAAAACATTTTCTGAGAAGAGGCAGTTGAATACAACAGATGACATGTGTGCATATATGGAAACAAGCAAGAAAATGAACAACCTATACCCCAAAGTTTCCTTGTGTCCCCTTGTAATTCTTACCTCTAACCCCTTTCTGCACCTTGCTCCTCCAGGCAACCACTAGTCGGCTTTGTTACTATAGTTTACAGTGTCTAACATTTTATATAAGTGGAACCATCAAGTGTGTGCTGTCTGGCCTCTTTCACCCGGGATAATTAATTTGAAATTCATCAATGTCAGAGCAATAGATCATTCCTTTTTTTAATGTAGTATTCCATTGTATGGATTTAACACAATTTATCTATTTGTTGATATACATTTGGGTTAGCTCTAATTTTTGGCTATTATAAATAAAGCTGCTATGAACATTCATGTAAGTCTTTGTGTGAACATATGCTTTCCTTTATCTTGGATGAATACCTCAGGGTGGAATGGCTGGGTCATATGGGAGGTGTTATTTTCATGTGGAACCACTAAACTGATTTCCAAAGTGGTACAACTCCTGGCAGCTACATTTTACATTCCTGCCAGCAGTGTGTGAGGTCCAGTTGCTCTGTACCCCTGCCAACACCAGGAATAGGATCAGTCTTTTGATTTTAAACATTCTAATAGGTGTGTAGTGGTATCTCATTGTGGCTTAAATTTGCATTTCCCTAATGACTACTGATGTTGGGAGTCTTTCCATGTGCTTTATTTACCATCCTTTTTTTGTGAAGCGTCAATTAAAATCTTTTGCTTAGGGGTGTCTGGGTGGCTCAGTCGGTTAACCTTCAGTTCAGGTCATGATCCCCAGGTCCTGGGATCAGGTCTCCCACTGGGCTCCCTGCTCAACAGGGAGCCTGCTTCTCTGTCTCCCACTGCCCCTGCCTGTGTTCTCTGTCAAATGAATAAATAAAATCTTAAAAAAAAAATTCTTCTGCTCATTTAAAAAATTGGGTTCGCGGGGCACCTGGGTGGCTCAGTCGTTATGCATCTGCCTTCGGCTTGGGTCATGATCCCGGGGTCCTGGGATCGGGTCCCACATCGGGCTCCCTGCTCAGCAGGAAGCCTGCTTCTCCCTCTCCCACTCCCCCTGCTTGTGATCCTTTTCTCTCTCTGTCAAATAAATAAATAAATAAAATCTTAAAAAAAAAAAATTGGGTTTGGGCATCTGATTGGCTCAGTTGGAAGAACACTCGACTTGATCTCAAGGTTGTGAGTTTGAGCCCCACATTGGATGTAGAGATTACTTAAATAAATGAATAATTTTTAAAATTGGGTTGTATTACTAAGTTATAAGGGTTCTTTACATATTCTAGATAAAAGTTCTTTGTTGTAGATTACATTTTGCAAGTACTTCCAGTTTATGGCTGCATTTTCATTTTCATAAGTATATTATGAAGAGCAAAAAATTTTAAAACTAGTTCATACTTTATGTGTTGCATTTAAGGGATCTTTGCCAAACTCAAGGTCACTGAAATTTTCTGTTAGTACCATCCTAAAGCACACAGTTTGAAAAAAAAATTCTGCAAAATATCTGAGGAAAAAATTGGCTACACAATTTAATAGTACTATGGTCTAAAATGAGGAAAAGAAAATGAAACACTAATTGTAAATTTAACATCAATACACAATCAAGTACTCAATAATTTATTTTTAAGCTAAGTGTGCCTATTACTTGAAATGTGGAAGACTGCTTCGACATAAAAAGAATCACACTTCAAACTAACTAACGAATGTGTTATTTCTCTCCTAATTTTTAAAATATGAACATTCTGTAATTCAATCATGGGGGCCTTTACTTCCAGGTGACTTCTTCATTGGGTCTCAATTCCCTGTAGAAATTAAAAAGGAAAGAAAGGAAAAAGTACAAATTTAACTCTTATGGGGGTAGAGAGTTAGAAGAGTATTCAGTATTTTATATTCTATTTATATTCTATTAAATTCTATATTTTATATTCTATTTAATTTAACCCATTAAAATTTTTATATAGACTCAACAAACTCATTCTAGTCTCTCATGCATCCCTTTGATTTCATTTTTCCTGATTAAGGAACTGCAATTTCTTAGTCTGTATGAAAGCTATTATCAATGAGTTCATCTGAGGTTTTCTAAACCCTTTCTAATTCATTTTATCTTTCTTAAAATCCTTAACTGTAAACTTCCTCTCCATACCGACTGTGAGTGCTGCTCAAGCCTCTGGTCCCTTCAGCTTCTTCCCACCGCGCTGCATACCCAGTGGCAGACACCCTGTCTTGCTAACTAACTCTCTGCTGCCAAAAGAGCCATCTCCAGAGACACAATGGGACCAGGTAGCGGCCAGCTGCCTTCTGATCACTCACCCACCACGTCTAAAGCTCTCAAGCAGTGTTGCTGCGAATACAGCACCAAGCCACTATTAGTACCACAGATTTCAGCTGTTCTGGCTTAAGTAAGATAATATAGGATAATATGTGAAACCTATATTAAAGGCTTTGATGAGCTGGTTTAAAACTTTGTTTCTATATTACAGTGCATCCTGAATGCCAAAAAAATTTTCAAACATTTGAAATAGCCTGTTCATAAACTGAAGACTTGTTGGCATTCCAAAATAATCATACAGTTTTGTAGAAGGGTTAAACAACAACTAATGCTGCAAAATAACATAACTTAAATATAAGTCCTCAGGGGAAAATTTACCCCTTCTGTTTATTTTTGGCACATATTATATTAAAAAGGCTTATTTCCAAGAACTGGTTAATTGTTCATTTAAAAAAACTGTACAAACTAACCTTTTAAACAACAAACTCTTGTTCCGGAAGGCAGTCAGCTTTTCATCATTCTTTCTATCTAGATAACATCCAAGGACAAATCCCATGGGCACAAGTATATGTACCCAGTGGTCACGAACAATCTGAATTACGTTCATCCTGAGTGCTAGGAAACAAAAAAAGATTATCAGAAATATAACTGCTTTTGAAATATCTTGAAAAATTGCATCTGAAGCAGGAGGATAGCCCTGAATATAGGAGATAGATGTTAAAAGCATAGTAAGCCTCTTCAAATTTGCTTTGGCATCAGAACGTAGTGTACAACTTAAAATCTACTTGATGACAATTATACAGGTGACAATGATTCGTATGAAAATTGCACTGCACTAAAATCAATTTATTAACTTTTTTTTTTTAGCTCCACTAGTGGTCTGATATGGTATAGCACAGAGAAATGGAGAGTATAAAAAATACTAGACTAAAACGTGAAACGTGAGCCCACCTGTCCACGGGAAGAAACCCCCATTTCACTTTCCCGCCTCCACCGCTCACAAACCCGGGGGAGGTTTGGACCACCCCTCGCCTAGAGACACCGCCACCGCCGAGGGCTTCCCTAAAGGTGGACCCTCCCCGCCTGCACAACGGGGACCCGCGGCGCCTTGGCTCATCTTGGACCCCGGAAAATTCTACCTGCAAAAGCGAATATTTGCACCCTCCAACTATTAATTTAAAACTTTTACACGTGTAAAATATTCTTTAGAGCCTCTTACAATGCTAAAACAAATATAATTATATTATGCCAAAAGCAGAATTCTTTAGTTAAGCTATCATTATTGAAAACTAATTTTTCAATTAGTAGTTGTGACTCAGATAAACCCATTAGCTACAATACTGCTAATGCACAAAGCTGAAAACTAATTTTTGAAAGGAAATAAAATGAGAGAAATTTTAAAAACCACTGCATTCAACAATGTCATGGTAGATCTCAATATCAACTCAAAGATTTTACAAAAGATAGGGACAGAAGGGAATTTACTTTTATAGAATAACTACGAGGTACCAGGGCCATCATATAATCTTATATATAACATGAAATAACTATTATTATCCTCATTTTATAGACTAGAAAACAGCTTAACCTAACAGGTATTAAGTACAGAGCTGGAATCCAAGCTCAGGTTTCCTCCAAAAATCTTTTTCTATTAGATCTCAATCTCTCTCTGAAAGACCTCTTCTCGAATTGATATTTATGGTACTTAAAGGCTTTTAAGTTGTAAGGGTTTCTAAAAGGTAGAGGAGGACTAGAACTAGAAGTCACCATATGGAAAATAAATTTGCCTTAATTAAAAAAAAGCTGAATTGTCAGTTTCTGCAAAAACTTGTACCTAAAGATGAAATCAAAATATATCTGCCTACGCATGAATCTAAGATGAATAAATCATATACAATGGCTGAGAAGGCATATGACAACACCCTGGTAAGAGAATACTGCCGACAAAAGTGCTTGGCACTAAACTGTGCTAGGGTTAGGTAGACTGGATTCTTGCCTCTAAGACACTTATTCTCACACTTACACATTTCAATTCTTTATTTCTCAAACTTCATCACTATCTAAAGGTACCGGGCAAGAAAATGGCCATGAAGTTAACAGATGCACAACCACTCTATAATCTATATGATAAAGTGTTAATATTACATACAGCAGGTTCCAATCTGGAAAATTATGTAAAGTTAACAAGTTATTTAAAATATATAACTTAGTTTAGTCATTAATTAAAGGTTTATTCTACCGTCTACAGCTGGAATTCTCAAACCTGACTGCGTATCAAAAACATCTGTGGAGCCTTTATCAAAATAGGGACTTCTTGGGGGGGGGTGTAGGCTGGTGGCTCAGTTAGCTGAGCATCAGGCTCTTGGTTTCGGCCCAGGTTGTGATCTCATGGGTTGTGAGAAGGGGCCCCAGGTCAGGCTCCCTACTTGGCGGGGAGTCTGTTTCAAGATTCTCTCCCTCTGCCCCCTCCCCCCGTTCATGAGATTGTGCGCTCAAATAAATAAATCTTTAGAACAAACAAAATAGGTATTTTCGGTCCTCCTTCCTTGTGGGACTGGAAAAACCTATAGTTGAAAGAACTTTTTAGATGATTTGATGAAAATAGTTCTTGGGCAACCTTATTTCCTAGAAGATGGTGGCTCTCTTAGCACTATGCCTTCCTTAAGTAACATTATTTGAATTTAGATACTGAAGCACTCTGTGAATCTGACCAAGTGCCCACCAAATTAGCCATTTACTTGTTTAATAAACTTGAACCAGTCAAGTATAGGAATAACAATACATGCCTTAATCAACTAATATAACTTTGAAAGCACAAAACTGCAAAATACTAGACAATGTAGGTCTCTGTAGAACTCAAGTGGTCATATATTCGGTCACCTGTCCTCACAGGTTCCTCAAATTTCTTAACTGGGGGGGGGTCAAGCCTAACCCTCAGCACAGGTGAGTCAGATACTACCTGTATTTTAACCAACAACAAAAGTGCTTATTGACTTAGCCCAAGACTGTTCTAAATAAACCCATGGACACCCGTGGTCTATAAGCCATACTGTTGTTGGCATTCTTCCAACAGGGCAAGTAGCTACTTTTGTCTGGCTCTAGTCTGAGAATCTGAGAAGAGGTGAGACAAACCCCTGAGACTCTGGCTGCACATAGGCTCTTACATACACTCTGTAAGTGAAGACTGATAGATAAAAGGATTCTGTGTATTCAAAATCCAGAGTTGGGTTCAGCCACCATGATTCCATCGCTAACAGGTAAATGACAAATCTTAGTCCAAGAGATTTCATATTACATGTGTATAATCTATTTAACAGACTTCGGGAGCAGTGCCATTGAACATAATTTGTCCTCTGTATTTCACTGTGAGTGAATGACCGGGGAGGACAAGGATTATGGACCTAAGAAGTGAGCTACAACGATTTCTTGGAGAATGTATAGGAGGGGGATATAGACAGACTCTGGTCATGAGCCCAACACCACAGGGGGCTTTATCTGATGGGTAAAGGGCAGTGAGGTCCTGGGACAGGCTCCAATGAAACAAGCTGAGGTTTGGATAAAGAGTGACATCCACATGGGTGCCCCTGAAGGTACTGTACATTATTAGTGTTTTCTTTTTTTTTGAGGGGGCAGAGAGCAAAGGGAGAGGGAGAGAGAGAATCTTAAGCAGGCTCCATGCTCAGCACAGACGTGGAACACCACCTCACGACCCTGAGATCATCACCTGAGCCGCAATCAAGAGTCGGATGCTTAACCAACTGGGCTACCCAGGCACCCCATTAGTGTCTTCTTTATAAGACTCATGAAAAATCCTTCTTTTACTTCAGAACTGGGACTTGCTATGGTATTCCTAAGAAAAACTAGTTTTTATCTTATGGACTCAAGGAATCACGTAACTGATCACCTATCGTTCGTTACCAATAGGTTTCAAATTTTTTGCCTAGCTCTAGAAAGAGCTCTTAAAAGCACTGTCAGGTACGGTTCTTATTCCTTTTCATAATCACTAACTCATGTAATCTTCACAATACTGTGTATTCACTAATGTCCCCAATGTAGTAGGCATATTTTTTTTCAGATAAGGAAATCCAGGGGCAATCGACTTGCCTAAGGTCACAGACGCAGTAAGTGGCAAAGCTGGGATTAACACTCAGGCAGTCTGACTTCTTGGTCCAAGCTATTTGTGTTTTATTGTCTGTTAGGGTAACTACAGAGATAAACATTTAGACTGACCTCACTCAGCCTTATCTTATTTTTCCTAACATTACTTTTTCTTCAACCAATTTTTCCCGCGTAACTTCTAAAAAGAAAACTGTATCTGGTGTGTATTTTTATAAGTCAATTCATGTTGTAAAACGTAGATGAATAGATATTTCAAAAATTAAATCCTAATCTCTAATTGGTCCCCACAGCATTTTAGATCGACTCTTTTTTTTTTTGAATACATATTATCTATGAAAGGCAGTGCTGGATGCACGGAGAAACTGAACTCCTTGAGGTCTGGAACCAACCGTGTCTTAATAACCTAGTATAAATTAAGTATTACGTTTTTAAAAAGTGATTTTTTGTGTGTGGAATGGTCGGCTCAAAAGGGTTTGCGATTTGGAAGAGAACGAGGTTAGTTTCCAACCCTGAGGACCGAGACAGAACGCTGAAACTTGGACGAAATCTGGGATGCTCGCGCCTTCCCTCCAGCCTAGGAGCGTAGATCCCGGCCTGTGTTCTCTCCGGTCCGGCCAGGGTCGGCCACCGGGGGATCCCCAAAGACGTCTTCCAGTAACGACAGCCTCCCGCTACCCTTTCCAAAAGCCGTCAGGTGCGAAACGTGAGCCCAGCTGTCCACGGGAAGAAACCCCCATTTCACTTTCCCGTCTCCACCGCTCGCAAGCCCGGGAGAGGTCCGGCCCACCCCTCGCCTAGAGACACCGCCGCCGCCCAGGGCTTCCCTAGAGGTGGACCCTCCCCGCCTGCACAACGGGGACCCGCGGCGCCTCGGCTCATCTTCGACCCCGGACCCACCTGCGGCCTTGATGCCAAAAACGACCCCACGACCAAGGGCAGCGACGACCCAACCACCGGCGCCGGCGGAAGCTGCGGCCTTGGGACCTGCCATTCGCCACGCTCGCTCGAAGAGAGGGGTGGCGCTGGGAAACCATACCTCTTCTTCTTTTTGATGTTGGACTCTTCTTGTACTTATTTTAGCTCTCACGCATTATAAATTATTTAAAAATAAGACTTCGGCGCAAGGTGACGAAACTTTTGTCGTAAGTCCCATCTCTTTTCCACAGCTTCGTCCCCGCCCCACCCCCGGAAGATGGTATCGCCCTGGGCCTTCCCCGCCTCAGAGGCTCGCCTCCAGTTTCAAAATGGCGGCCGCCATCGGGGGGCTTCTGCTGGCTGGTCGTCCCGGGTGCTGCTGAGCGAGCATCAGCTTTTCTTGCTCTCGAACCTGGATGCGACTAGGGGTTGGGAAGGGCAGTGGACGGCGTTGGGGGAGGACTGACGAGGCAAGTGAGGGCGGAGGAAAGGAGCGAGACTTTGGATGGGGGAGGGGGCGTCCTCGGCCCTCAGGGAGACCCTGGCTCCCCCTCGTCCGGGTCGGCGCTGGGGAAGTGCTCTTGGGGTTTAGGTGGCGACTGTCCTGGCCGGGCCTGGCAGAAGTGCTTATCGAGGGAAAGAGAAGTGATTTCTCCGTGGGTCTAAAGCTCCCGGTGTTTGTGGCAGTCCGTACGATTCACTCCTGTGTTCTCCTTCCCTCTTTTTGCTGTTTCCCTGTGACCTTTCAGTTTCGGCGCTGGAGGAGTTACTCCGACGCCAGCTTTGGCGCCTTTGGCCCTTGTGGTTGCTGTGTTTTTAGCGGCCTCGCTGGGGGTCTTCCGTGGTCTCGGGTTCAGAGACCACGAGGCTGCTAAGCACTGGGCACAAAGTAGGCGTTAGTTGGTCGATTCCAGGGACCTTTTAAGTTGTTACCGTGTTTTATTAAAAGGGTCTCGGCCTCCTGCTCCCCCCAGCCCTCCAGGCTCCCTTTGCTCTCAAGCGCTTCCATCACTCTGTATTACAAGTTTTTAAGTAAACAGGAGGTCAGACTAGCCTTAACCCCAGCAAGTCTGGCCTCCTGTCACCAGCCGAACATGAGTTATCAATTGCCCATCCCCTAATTTTTTATCTTATAACCCCTGTGATTTTTTTTTTTAGGAAACCAATTCTCTTCCCGAGCTGACCAGGAAAAGACTTTTTGGACTTTGTGAGCTCGAGGGCCAACCCAGATTCCTTCGTTTTCCCTTGGATTTTGCCTAGTTCCCTTTCGCTGTCAGCAACATGCAAGGTTATTATTGAGAGAGCAAGTTAACTGTGAGAGATAATCGAGATGAAGTAGTATCCGTCAGGAAGGAATTGATGGTCTGGTTCGGGTTCATTCTTTAAGCACACATGTATGTTGCTTTGAGGGCTGTGCTTGAATTTGGTGATACAAAGATGATCGCTTTTGCTCTTAGCCTATACATTCAGCATCCATTCAATAAATATTCTTGGTGCCCAGTTTGTGTTAGGTGAAAAAAAAATAACCTCCTGAGGCCACCAAAAAAGCTCCATAAAGGAATAAATATTTCAGCTGGGTCTTGAAGGGTCAAAAGGAATTTATGAGGCTCAGGAGGAGGTCCTTCCTGGATGCAGAAACTTGAGCAGTTTTGGTATACTGAGGGAGAGTGGGAAGGTAAATGTGCTTGAGCGTGCAGTGCAAGGGTGGTTGGTGAAAGAAGAGGGAGATTGAGAGCAACTTGTGAAGGACCCTGATTTCCAGCTGAGGAGTTTAGATTTTATTTGTTAGAAGGTGCATACTTTGCACAAGGAAAGGGCATGAGTATATTTGTTTTTTTAAGGTGGTCTCTGACAGCAGTATGGAGGATCAACTTGGAACAGGAAAACTAGGTAAGAGGAAGTTGTTGTCATTGAGGTAAGGTAATGATTGCCTCAATTGAAATAGGATAGTGGAGGGTGTAAGAAAGACCTTTCTGAAATGTCAAATAGGATTCAGTGGGGGGCAGCAGTTTGGTGGAGGGAGGGTGACTCCAGAGTTTTTGGTCCAGGAAACTAAATGGTTGGTGATACCATTAAAATCAAGCCTAAGACATGTACATAAAAAACAGAATGGTGCCAACCTGCACCTTAAGGAGTGGCAGAGCACAATGCTGTACAGTACGAAGCATTGATTTTAGAGTCTAGATTTGTGCTATTACAGTAGCCACAAACTGCATGTAGCTGTTGAGCCCTTGAAATTGTGGTTAGATTGAATTGAGATGTGCTGTAAATATAAAATACACACTGGACAAAGACTTGGTATGAAAAACAATGTAAAATATCTCAATAATAATGGCTACATACTGAAATGATAATATTTTGAATATGTGGGGCTCAATAAAGTATATTAAAATTAATTTCACCTTGTAAAACTTTTCAATGTGGCTATGAAAAATAAATTTAATTACATTTGTGGCTTGCATTATATTTTTGTTGGGCAGAGCCGATGTAGTCTAGACTAATGATAAAGGAATTCGTATGGAGGTGCAATTTGAGCTGGGCCTTGAGACCGTGGTGAGCAGTGATGTCAACAGCTTGCTGGTGCCCTCCATTGCCAGTTAAGGCATTCAGGTTTTTGTTTTTTCAAGCAGTGAGAAGCCTTCAGAGATTTCTGAGCAAGGGTTAATATGTGGAGGGGTGTTTCTGAAGATTAATCTGACAGTCATGTTTAGGTTGAGATAAAGGGAGGAAAGGCTGGAGGGAGAGAAACAGAGAAACCCAAATATAAGGTAATGAGGCCCTGCTTTAAGGTACTGGTGGTAGGAAGGGAAAGGGGATGATACACAGGTGAGGCATTTTGAGGGAAAAATAATCAGGAGTTGGTAACAGACTATTCAAGAAGTAAAGGAAGGAATCAAATGTAGAGTTTCAAGCCTTGGTTACTTAGATAAGGACTAATGAATTCATGTCATATGATTATAAAGTACATTTGAGCTAAAGGAATTTAGTCTCAAAATAGAAGGAGCAAAGTTGGAAGGAGGAAGTGGTCTGCTAAATACTCTTCCTTTTTATCTCCTTCCTTTCTGTATCTTGTCTAATCAATCAGACCCACCAGCTTATTTTCCTAAAATATGGAATTTCCTGTATTATGTCATCTTACTTCAAAATGGATCTTAAAATGTTTCTCTGTTGCCCGAAGAGCGAGGTCCAGGGTCCAAGACCTTCCATTATCTGGTCCTTTTCTATTCAGTAGTTCTTTTCTTTCATTTTTTTGCTTATATGAAAGTGTGCTCGGCTGGTTTTTCCACTAGAACTCTGTCAGTTTTTATGTGCCTTTGATCATGTTATTCCCCTGTTTTGAATACCTTTTCTTTTTGTCTGTCTCTACTCAGGTCCTACTAATCCTTAACAAGTAATTTAAGATCCCACCTCTTTTATGCTTCTCAATAACATCAGCTAATGTCGGTTTTTAAAATCTTACTTCCTAAACTGCATATTTTAGCTCATGATTATGACCAATTTGGTACATTATTATTTTTGTCTTTTATTATCCTTTTATTATCTTATCTCTGTTTTATGTAAGCTTTAGCTTCCTAAAATTATGACAAGTTTCTTGCTTAAAAAAGGACCATTTATTATACTACTTGCTGCTGTTTGTGATGTTCATCTTCAGGCACGACATAGAAGTTAAACACCGTAATTAAAAACAAGTGAATCTGTTATACCACATTCATCAGACTCTCATTTCTTTATTTTTTAGATTTATAAAGAACTCTTCCCTTGAATTCATGGTGTTTCATCCTATATACAACTGAGATATCAGTAAGTCATGAATGTGTCTAATAAAGATACAACTTTATTATGTTATGAGCAATTGTATTAAAAATATTTTCACCTGTTGAAATCTGGGTCTGTGTGCAAAAAGCTTTAACATGAACTCATTTACTTCTAGTCTGCAAGATCTTTTGTATTTTCACTTCATAATCTAAAGAAAGTGGAAGTTAAGGTGGATTTGGGTAAACAAGAGTTTCTCTTAGGCCATTAATTGTCGTACAGGAAGCTTTTCGGCAGGGAGAATTTTTTTTTTAGATCCTTTCCAAAATTGTATTTATAAATGTTTTTCATCAAATTGGAGAATTAATATCTTTGTATTTCTCATACCTCACAAATAGGAACATGCTAAGCCAATATATTTTTAATTTTAACTTGTTTCATCAGTTTTTTACTGAACAACTGCTATGTGTTTAAATGTGCTAATATAGTAAGGATACAAAAATGTATCAAGCCTGGTCTTGCACTCAAGAGAGCTCTCCCAAGCAAGGGGAAGTGCATATAAATAGGTAACTGTTAATGGTGCGGTAAGGGCACTAAGCTCATTTGACACGAGCCATACTTCATTCATTTAAGAAGCTTTTATTGACCCTCTACTATGTGTTAGGCACTATGGAGGCATTGGAGGATAACTGTGACCAAAATAGATAAGGTCTATTTTTACATGGAGTCCATGATCTAGTGCTCGGGTGAGGAGGAGAGATGGGGGTGGGCAAAGCAAGTAAATAAGTAGCGGGTATAGAGAGCAGTAAGTATTTTGAGGGAAATGGAGTGATGCTACAGGATGTAACAGTTAGGGAAGGACTTTAGGGTTGTTAGAAAACCATCTCAGAGAGAATAAGTTTGAGGCAGGGAAAATATACAAACTAGCTAGAGATCTTAGTGACAGTGGAGATAGAAGGAAATTTGAGAAATAGGATGGAGGTAAAAATGCAGCACTTACCAATAAATTGGATGTGGGATACAGAGTAAAGGACGGACTCAAGGATGATGCCATCAGAGATCAGATATATTTATGGCTGTGGAACTTGGTGAGATCACCTGGAAAGAAAGAAAGAAGTCCTACTGAAGAGCACTGCCACATTTAGAGGTTAAAGAAAGAAAGTAACTAGCAAGGGAGATGGAGGAGTGACCGGTTAGATACAAGGAAAACCAGGAGAGGGTTGACACGGAAGTAGAGGGAGGAGAGCATTTCAAGAGGCCGAACACTTACTTTTACTGAATGTTGCTATGATTTCTGCCAGTTGAGGCCAGAGAAATAAATGCCCATTGGCTTAAATTGCATCGAAGTTGGTCAGTGACCTTGATGAAAGCACTTTTTTTTTTTTTTTAAGATTTTATGTATTTATTTTTTTTTTTTAAAGATTTTATTTTTTATTTATTTATTTGAAAGAGAGAGAATGAGAGATAGAGAGCATGAGAGGGAAGAGGGTCAGAGGGAGAAGCAGACCCCCTGCCGAGCAGGAAGCCCGATGTGGGACTCGATCCCGGGACTCCAGGATCATGACCTGAGCCGAAGGCAGTCGCTGAACCAACTGAGCCACCCAGGCGCCCAAGATTTTATGTATTTATTTGACAGAGACACAGCCAGAGAGGGAACACAAGCAGGGGGAGTGGGAGAGGGAGAAGCAGGCTCCCCGCGGAGCAGGGAGCCCGATGCGGGGCTCGATCCCAGGACCCTGGGACCATGACCTGAGCCGAAGGCAGACGCTTAACGACTGAGCCACCCAGGCGCCCTGATGAAAGCACTTCTGGTGGGCTGGTGGAGGAAGATGCTAGCTTTGGGAGTCTGAATGGGAGGCGAGAAAGTGGAGACACATTTGTGGACAAATATTCTGAGAACTTGCTGTGAAAGGGGAGCAGAGAAATGATGAAGTACTTGCAGGGGGTTGATTGTAGGATTAAGAGAGGGTTCTTTTAAATTGGGGAATTCTAGAGGATCTGCGTATGCTAATAGGAATGGTACATCAATGACACATGGATATTGCAGGGAAAAGAGGGAATGACTGAAGAGGTTCAATCCTCTAGAAGGTAAAAAAAAATGAGAATGGGATCCAGAGTACTCATGCGGATTGGCCTTGGATGAGAGCAGTGCCATTGATTCCTTGTAGTCAGAGACACGACTGTGTTCATGCAGATACATTAATAGAATTGGTATTGGGAGATAGAAGGAAATTTGAGAAATAGGATGGAGGTAAAAATGCAGCACTTACCAATAAATTGGATGTGGGATACAGAGTAAAGGACGGACTCAAGGATGATGCCATCAGAGATCAGATATATTTATGGCTGTGGAACTGGTGAGATCACCTGGAAAGAAAGAAAGAAGTCATACTGAAGAGCACTGCCACATTTAGAGGTTAAAGAAAGAAAGTAACTAGCAAGGGAGATGGAGGAGTGACCGGTTAGATACAAGGAAAACCAGGAGAGGGTTGACACGGAAGTAGAGGGAGGAGAGCATTTCAAGAGGCCGAACACTTACTTTTACTGAATGTTGCTATGATTTCTGCCAGTTGAGGCCAGAGAAATAAATGCCCATTGGCTTAAATTGCATCGAAGTTGGTCAGTGACCTTGATGAAAGCACTTTTTTTTTTTTTTTTAAGATTTTATGTATTTATTTGACAGAGACACAGCCAGAGAGGGAACACAAGCAGGGGGAGTGGGAGAGGGAGAAGCAGGCTCCCCGCGGAGCAGGGAGCCCGATGCGGGGCTCGATCCCAGGACCCTGGGACCATGACCTGAGCCGAAGGCAGACGCTTAACGACTGAGCCACCCAGGCGCCCTGATGAAAGCACTTCTGGTGGGCTGGTGGAGGAAGATGCTAGCTTTGGGAGTCTGAATGGGAGGCGAGAAAGTGGAGACACATTTGTGGACAAATATTCTGAGAACTTGCTGTGAAAGGGGAGCAGAGAAATGATGAAGTACTTGCAGGGGGTTGATTGTAGGATTAAGAGAGGGTTCTTTTAAATTGGGGAATTCTAGAGGATCTGCGTATGCTAATAGGAATGGTACATCAATGACACATGGATATTGCAGGGAAAAGAGGGAATGACTGAAGAGGTTCAATCCTCTAGAAGGTAAAAAAAAAAATGAGAATGGGATCCAGAGTACTCATGCGGATTGGCCTTGGATGAGAGCAGTGCCATTGATTCCTTGTAGTCAGAGACACGACTGTGTTCATGCAGATACATTAATAGAATTGGTATTGGAGAATGGGTTACTGTCTAATGACTTTGTTTTCTAACTGAAGAATGAGGTGAGATGATCAGCTGAGAGCAGGGTGGAGGGAGTGGAGCATGATGCTTGAGCAGAGAAGAGGTGATGTGAAATCATAATCTCAGAGATAGTCAACCTACTACAAAAACGCAGATTGATAGGTAGTGCTTAGTGCCTGTTTGATATATGTATATATTTTTTTTCCATTTGAGATCTTTGACCATGAATTTAAAGAGTAAGCACAGTGGTGGGATTGTTTGTTTGTTTTTTCTCTGGCAACATTCAGTTTCTGGAATAGGCCAAGTGAAGGACTGGAGTCAGTCAGGGTTGGGGTTTTGCCAGGCTGGTACAAGGAAGGACTGGAGCAGCCAGATACTTGATCATGTTTGCGAGATACTCATGGTGGATTGTGGATGAGCAGGAAGGACATGAACGGAGACGGGGATAGGGTGAAAGAGCAGTCGGTGGGTTAGAGATCGGGTGAGGCCGAAGGGTGTTCGCGGCGGGATTACTGAGTAAGCAAGGCAGGAGTGAGAGCATGAGATGCCAGAAGGGGAACATTTGGAAATGGTGCAGCTCAGGGGTGGTGAGGTCCACGGCATAACCGCGGTGGTGGGAGGCTGAAGTGAGATGAGGTTACTGGAAGTGAGAAAGTCAGGGGACTAGAGTCCGCAGCGGAGTTACTGAGGAAGACCGAGTCAGGTACTGAAGTCCTCAGTGAACGAGGTCCGATTCACCTACGCCAGCAGTGAGGAGGGAAGAGGGAAGGCTCCTAGTGAACTATCTGGGAGGGCCCGGAGTATTTGGAGGAGGAAGGAGAAGATCTGGTTTGGAAGCTGCAGTGAGGAGCAAGGAGCACAGACTTCCTGCTTCGGACGCACAGGGGGTACAAGGGAGAAACCCTTGAGAAGGCTGCAGGAGAAACAGTTCTTGTGAAGATTACCAGGCGAAGAAAGAGAACTGTCAGGGAAGAGGTGCAGTTTCAGGTAAGGGTAAGCAGCGTCGTTCCAGAGGGCATACTGGAAGGATTTGGGAGGGATAGAAAGTAGAGGAGTGGATCCGACTGGCAGATGTGCACATCAGTGATAATGAACAGCCCAGGAGTCTTGGGTCTTTGCCTGTGACGGGGGAGAAGAAGGATGGGGAATGTGGTGGGATTGGTCTCCTGACACCCTGTCAGGAAAGGTGACAGTTTACCTGACTTTGTTGATAGGACCTTGGGTAGCTGGTAAGAGACCATCAGGTATGCGTGACCTCTCCTAATTGCATAGTTGGCCAGGGAAGGCTAATTTACTTCAAGGAGCTAAGATCTGAAATATTGCTGTGGAGCTGTACTTTGCTGCTGAATGTTTTTGTAACATCTGTTTAATAGCATGCAATTCTAGGTCTTAAATCCCAATAGATGTGCTCATGTTATATCTCCTCGAAATATATACAGTAGGCGCCCCAGATAAATTCCATCAGATATATGTTGAGCACCTACCGTGTGTCAGGTTCTCTTTTAGGAATTGCAAACATGAGATTTTACCTCTATTTTTTAGTTGCTTACTTTCCAGTGCAAACATTTTTAACATTCAGCGCCTGAAAAGTATGTGGATTTCTATGAGTATGTGCACCTTGTTTGTTTTTTGACGACTGAGGGGAGAAGGAACAGTCCACAGCTTTTTATCAGATCCTCAAGGGGGTCTATTTATTTAAGGACCCCTGGTCTAATAGGAGAGAGAGACATGAAAACTAATCATTGTAATGCAGTGAAATCATTGCCATCACAGAGAAAAATAAAGGAGGCACAAATTCACCTTGAAGAATGAGTTCATTAATTCATTATCTATTTATATACTGAGGGACTTGGTAGTCTCTATTCTAGGTAATTTACACATTATTTGAAATCTTCCGGCATCCTTTTTATGTGTATTATTATTAAAGATTTATTTATTTATTTTTAAAGATTTTATTTATTTGAGAGAGAGAGAGACAGAGATAGTGACAGAGATAGAGAAAGTGCGAGCAGGGAGGAGAGGGAGAAGCAGGCTCTCCGCCGAGCAGGGAGCCCCACACAGGGCCAGACCCAGGACCCTGGGATCATGACCTGAGCCGAAGGCAGACACTTAACCGGCTGCGCCACCCAGGTGCCCCATGAGATTGATTGATTGATTTTAGAGAAGGAGGGAGAGTGTGCACTTGGGGGTGGGGAGGGTGGAATGGAGAGGAGCAGAGGGAAAGTCTTAAATAGACTTGCACTGAGCACAGAGCCGGATGCGGGACTCTGTCTCATGACCCTGAGATCCCTACCTGAGTCGAAACCAAGAGTCGGACACTTAACCAACTATGCCAAGGCGCTCCGTTTTATGTGTGTTATTAATACTCATGTTTACAGGCTGGAATACATAAGTGAGGAAAAGTTAATTAATTGCTTAGAACCACCTAGTAGTAGTTTCAAATCTGAAACTGATTCTAAAGTCTACTGCTTTTCTTTTCTTTTCTTTTTTTTTTTTTTAAAGATTTTATGTATTTATTTGACAGAGACACAGCGAGAGGGGGACACAAGCAGGGGGAGTGGGAGAGGGAGAAGCAGCCTTCCCGCAGAGCAGGGAGCCTGATGCCAGATGCAGGGCTCGATCCTGAGCCAAAGGCAGACGCTTAATGACTGAGCCACCCAGGCGCCCCATGTCTACTGCTTTTCATTAAGCCACACTGGGAGCCACTGAAGGACTCGTTGTAAAAAAAAGTACATAAGGTCATGTTTGTACTTTGAAACTTAGCAATGATGGAAATAGGTC